AGACAAGATTGGCAAGGAATAGATCAGGGTTTAGGGCTTTCGTACATAGGGTCACTATGAATCAAAGGCAACTCAAAGGCACATAAAAACAACAGCAACAAAAGAAATACAAATATGGATTATGAAAGCACACACATACATATACACTCTCTAGTTGAGAAACTAAATGCTATACATTAAAAAAACATTAGAGAGTTGGGACCACGTCTTAAGCCATGGTAGAGGTGCAATTAATGAATGATGTTGTTTTTAAGCTACATGGTTACAACAAAATAATAACTCTATGAAAGAAGTTTCTTCTAAAATGTTGAAGATGGAAAATGTAGATGACTTATAGCGACCCTATGAACGAACAGCCTGAGCACTGTTCATACATAGTTTTCAGAGGCAAGCCATTTTGGAAGTAGATGCCGCTCCTGCTTCCAGGCTTGATTTAGTTGGGAAGCTCCAGCAAACACTGTCCACCATGGGTGCCCATTACCATGATTGACACATCACTGTCACAGGCTTCAGCATCACAGCAACCACGAGTTACCTCTGTACAGCAACGCACAGACCAGTGCTATACCACCTAGAAGAATGTTTGACAGGAAGACAATTTGAACCCTTTGGGCTTAAGGCCGCCTCCTGGTTCAAACCCTAGGCCCAGGCTGGCTAGCCTCACTCCAGGGACAGAGCAAACCTGCACATCAAACACATTCCCGGAAAAGCAGTCCACTCCAAAAGCTTGCCACGATTCCTGCACTCCCACCACCACGCTCCTGCCTTCTGGCAAGGAGAGCTTCCCACGAGCCTGTGAAGGCGCCAGCCAAAACCAGGAACAACATGGGAAAATGTAATAGTTGTAGAAAATAATGTTGTTTCAGTTAGCACTGCATTTTAATTTAAAAGCAAACCGAAGCACCATCAACAGAGCGTGGTAGACTCTGTTACACAGGTTGTCTGGTTTTCACATAATTTATGACAGATTTTGTGTTTATGTCCCTTTAAAACAGATGTGAAAGTCTCAGATCTCAAAATATCACATACCTCTTCAACCTGACAAATGACAGTGTTTTCTCCAAGTGTTCACTACTAACAACCACAAATATGGAGAATGACCATCAATTACTGACCTTTTACCATGATTTGGTAACACAAGACATTTTTAAAAGTATAAGAATTTACTTAGCAGGACCCTGCAATTTAATTAAGGAGATAAGAAACAGAGTAAAGAAATTAAGTACACACACACACACACACACACACACTATGAGAAAATAAATATTAAAGGACATTTTTTAAAAAGACAACAGAGACAAAAAAAGAAGAAAACAGTAATCAAGAAATGTTGGCGAGCTCTGGTGGCCTAGTGGCAGGAAACTGCACTGCAATCCCAGAGGTGCACAGTTCAAATCCACCAGATGCTCTGCTGAAGAAGGAGGAACAATCGCCTCCTGTACCAGTCAGATCCAATTTATGGTACACACATTAAATAAATGAATGAATGAATGAATGAATTTTGAAAAGGAAAGAAAAAAAAAGAAATGTGACTGTGGGATGACCTGTGCGTAGGAAATAGTTATCAAGATGTAAAACAATTGGGAAGACATTTCGGCTGAGAGCATAGCAATATGAATAAAAAAGTAGAGATACTATTACACAGTGAATATTTCAGTTTGATTGGAGTAAAGAGTAGAAACTGGACAGCAGAGGAAGAGAAGACTAGGAAGAAAAGTATGGGCAAATTGTAGGGTCTGGAATGAAAGGGTAAGGTCTGAATTTTAAGCCTATTCTAAAACTTTTAAATGTTCTTGAGTAGTGAAATACTAAGAAAGTAGAGTTTCAAAGAAAAAAACTATTGAACAATAATGCACACAGTATTTTAAAAGTGGGAGCAGCAGTACTACAATGGTTTACGGGTAAAATGTTAGAGCTTCTTCTAAAATGTTGAAGATGGAAATGAAAAAGGCTTGAGAGAAAATAAATAAGAGATATCACAGGTTAAATGAAATCAAATCATAGGTAATTATGAAACTATGGAAACAAAGGAATGTTAGAGAAACAACAAAATTTTGAAAGATAACATCATCTAGTATTTACTGTTTACAACAGGAAAGAATAGTAAGTCACTGAGTATAATGTAGGAAATTCAGAAAGTTTTGTAATATCTTTCAAATAGAAAATGTGACTTATAAGTTGATCTAAGATCACATAAATTACTTTTATGAAATATATGCTATTCTGATAAAGACTCTTGAACTTGAGAACTAATAAAAATCAAACATCAGAACAAAGTGAAATGAAATCTATTCATTATTTTAAAAACATAATATGCATACATTTTAGATGTCAAAGTCATAAAGAGACTTTGCTCAGATTGTCAAATTGTCTGTAGTGCAATATAAATGAACCCATTAACTACAAAGCAGCAGGAAAATTTGCCTAAACCTCTAGAGTCAAAAGGAAGGTGGTTCAAATCCAACAGCAGTGCCACACGGGAGAAAGATGGACAAATGCCTCTCCTGAGATTTACGCCCCTGAAATTCACTATAGGGTCAGTTATGAGTGGGTTCTGATAAGATGGTGTATAATAACTACTTCTACTATATTTAAGGTGGCCTTTTCATAGCAGTCTGTGTTTTAGGCTGTTACTCCAAAGTTAGCCATTCGAATCGGCTAGCTGATCCACAAGGAAAGATGAAGCAGTCTGCCCTCATGAAGACGTACCACCTTGGAAATCCAACAGATGGTTCTCATGTGCTGGAAATTATTTGAAGGCGGTGGGTTCTGGTTTAGCAATAAAGGAATGCTTAAAGATAGATATCCTTAGGCATTTGTTAGCAGAAATAAACTGGTAATAGGCATTTTGAATTGGATTATCATAGGGTCTACTAAGACAGGAATGACAGATTGAAAAGGAATTGCATTGCATTCATTGTCAAAGCAGTCCAAGAAAGAATGTAGAATCAGTACTTGGGAGGCTGATTAACAACCCACAATAATATGGATGACACAATCTTGCTTGCTTAATGTGAAGAAAACCTGGAACATTTGTTGTTGTTAAGTGCCATCAAGTCGCAGGCGACTCATAGTGACCCTATGAAGCAGAGTCCTCAACGTTTGGGTGTCTCTCATCCTCTCTCCAGGTTCATAGTGTTTCTGGAGGCAAGCTATTATGGAAGTGGATGCCATTCCTCCTTTCAAGCTTGTTTTAATCGGGGAGCTCCACCCCACTCTCTGTCCGCATTTTGGTAACCAACCACAAGCGACCGCTGTACGGCAACTTGTACACCAGGGCTATATGACCTAGAGGACACTTACTGATGAAAATCAGTTACGAGAGTCCTCTATATGGACTGTATACACCTCAACATAGTATAAACAAAAATCCTTACAGCTCAATCAATAAGCAACAAGATGACAGACAGAAATACTACCGAAGTCATCAAGGGTTTCCTTTTATTGTGATCCATGATCAATGGTCAAGGAAGAAGTAGATCAAAAAGAAAACATTGTCAAGAAGGAAAAGCAGCTGCAAAAGATTTCTTTAAAGTGTTAAAGAGCAATGACAGAATTTTTAAGAATAAGGAGCCCCTGGTACAAGCCAGGATGTTTTCAATTGCCTCACATGCATGTGAAAACTGAACAATGAAAAAAGAAGGCTGAAGAAGAATCATTGCTTTTGAATCACTGTATTATATAAAATTATTGAGTATTTCATGACAGAAGGAAGAACAAATTATCTTAGATGTATCGCAGTATGTTCCTTAGAAGTGAAGATGCTAAGACTTCTTCTCAAGCATTTTCAGCAGTTATCTAAAAGGATCAACCCCTGAAGAAGGATGTCATGCTGGGTAAAACAGAGGTTTGGCAAAAAAAAAAAAATAAGACCCTCAATGAGATGAACTGACTATGTGGCAGCCGCAATGGGGTCAGACAGCAATGACTTTGAGGTTGGCAATGGACCAGATGTTCTCTTCTGTTGTACAAATGGTCACTGTGAGTCAGAACTGACTCAATTGCACCTAGATTCCACTTTAAAAAATGAACATCATAATAAAATTCTAGGCAGAGACTGGAAGTAGGAGTGGCATCCACGTCCTAAACAACATGCCTCTGGTAACTCTATAAACTTTGAGAAATGATGATAGTTAACAGAAAAGTATCAGGTCTTTTGTTCATAAGGTCACTATGAGTTGTGCTCGACTCTAAGGCAATCAACAATAACAACAACAACAACAGGCATAGATTTCTTTTAAAATGGAAAATGTGACCTGTGGAAGTTCAACTTCTCTCACATTTGGCCTATTATATTGGCAATCTATCACTTTGACAGAGTGTAAGACTCCCATGAATGTTAAGATAATGAAGCTATAAAGCACAATGCCCTGCATAATCCAATTTGGCTCACATCATTGCAATTTTTGCTTCAGCACCTCTTTGATTTAGAAATTTCCTGAAAAAGACTTGAACTCCAGAATGCTACTAGAAGCAGCAACGTTTCACCATTACAGATCCTCTATACCATCTTCTCTTCCTAAAAAAAGGTAGGTCTTAAATAAAACTTTCAGTATGAGACAAGTTGAGTCCTTTCTACTCTTCATTTCGTCACATGATCTTACTGCTAAACCATCACTTTAAGAAGGCACTTTCACACTTTAAGTTAAAATGAATAGTGGAAATGTCTTAACATGTGTGTGCATGTGTGTGTGTGTGTGTGTGTGTACTACATATGAATAATGGTAAAACAGCTCCCAATTACTTATCCTTTTCATAATCAGCGGAGTTTTATGCAGAGGAAATTTGTGATTTTTAAAAAAATGGTAATGGTATATTTAAAGACATTTAAATATTTCTTGTTTCCCTAAGACCAATGAAAGCCAATAAAATGTATCATTCTGTCCTAAGACTGACCAAATAATATCCAGAAGTTTACCTTTTTCTACAGAATTAAAAATCAATTTAAAGAAAGGTTCAAAACTCTCAAATGTAGGTCTGAAAAAGAAAAAGACACTCACTAGCCGGTCTCTCTCATTTTGAAGTGATGCCATGGCTTTTTTTAAGCTCTGTACTTCAGCTGAGCTGGGTGTTGGCTGCTGGGCTGCAGAACGCTGCTTCCCCTCCTCAGACTTGTGGAATCTTGACAGCTCATTTAACAGGTAATCTCTTTCGCTCTGTAGACTCACCACAGCCTTGGAAAAAAACTGCACTTGGTTGTAAGAATCTTCCAGTTGCGCAGATAAGTGAAGCAGTTGTTCATCTTTGGATAAGAGCTGCTGGTTAAATTTTTCAAGGTGAGACTGACTCTTCCCTTCCATGGAGCTCTTTGGAAAGTCAGCTGCTGAAACAAGAACTTCTCCTTTCATGCCGTCTTTCAGTTGTGCCAACTCCTTTAGACTGGCATCGTATTTCTTCTTCAGTTCATCTAGTTCTTCATTGGCATGATCTCTACTATCCTGCAGAGAACTCATAGACCTTCCAAAGGACTGAATTTGTGCTGTAAGATCTTTATTCTCTTTGGTAACTGTGAGTAACTTTTGCTCCATCTCCATTAGATCTCTGGCAAGCTCTGCTACCCTCTCTTCTGCTGTTTCTGTTTCATTTCTCATTATTCCTGCATCATGATGAAGATACTTTAATTCTTTCTTTAGTTTATCTTCCATTTCACCTACTTTCTTGGAAGCTTCTTTCTGAACATGAATTAATTCCTCCTCCAAGTCCTTAATTCTGTTCTGGGTTGAGGACAGGGCTGTACTTAGCTTCTGTATCTCCTCTTCCTTTAGTTTTAATTGGGTTTGGAATAATTCTGAAGCATCTTCTTGCAAGACTTCTACTTGCCCCTTTAGTTGAGCTGTGAATAACTTTAAACTCTCCATTTCTTTAGATAAACATTGCTTCTCCTCCTGCAGAGTAACAGAGGATCTCTCCAGAGCCTCTTTTGCTTCTTCAGACTTTTTCAGATTTTCTTCTAATTTAGCACATTTACCTTTCAGCTCATTATTCTGCTGTAGTTGAGCTTCAAGGAGTTGCTTTTGCTGACAGTCCTTTATTGTGATGACTTGGTTCAAGTCTTCTCTGTATTGCAACAGTTCTGCATGTAACTTAGCATTTTCAGAATTGAGATCATCCATATGACTTCTCAAGCCTCTCGTCTCTTCCTTAAGCTTATTATTCTCTGTGGCAGCATCTTGAATGAGCTGGTCTTTTTCTAAGATTATAGAGAGATGGCGTTCTTCCAGCTGTTGGTAGTCACCTACTATACGGTCTCGGTCATCCTGGAGAGAAGACATTGATTTAACAAAAGAATCCAGCTGAATCTTTTGCTGACTGCTTTCCTTTTTGATGGTGTTCAGTGCTTCCATGAGCTCATTACTTCTGTCCAATGTGGTCTTATGCTCCTCTTCCTTTTTGGATAGCTGATTTTCCAGTTCTTTAATTTCATGATCATGTTGTTGGTGTAGTTGTGAAAGAGCAGCTTGGATTGCCTCTTCCTTGGCAGAGATTAGGCTCTGAATCTTCTGCTCTTTTGTATTTATTTCTTCCTGTTGTCTATTGGTCAGGTCCCTGGATATCTGAAGATCAGTCTCTAGCTGTTCACAACTGATCTTTAAACTTTGGATATCAGTTTCTTGCTGCTTTACTAAAGCTTCCAAATTTTCTTTGTTTTTGTTACATTCTTCTACAGAGTTCCTTAACTCGGCCAACTGGTCTTGGAGAATCTTAAGTTCTGATTCCAACTTGGCAAGTTCATTCTGAGAATTGTGATATAAGTATAAAGTTTTTTCTAGCTGAGACCCAAGTTCTTTATTTTCTCCCTGTAGAATATCACAGACCTTCTGTTGATCATGAACCTGTGTCTGGGCCTTGGACTCCCAGGTCTGCTTGTCATGCTCAAGTCTGAAAAACCAAAGAACATGAAATAGATTTAATAAAAAACCAACTTGATGCCCAAAGAACAAATACTAACTACATGACAGATCTATAAATCAGTAATTTATATACTTTCTTGTCATGCAGAAGTTCATAACTGAAGATGTCTTTTTAAGGAAGCAATTCCCTGTACTACAGATGTGTTTTCTGAATTTTACATATCAAAAGAATACAGAACTAAGAGTGGGAGCAGAGGGGTGAGGATGGGTAGAGGCGAAACCACAGGGCTTCACAGTTTGGCACGTGGATGAAGGTGGTGTAGGCAATGGGAAGGATCCAGTGGGGACCTGAAAAGATTGGGTAATGGTGGGCAAAGTTTAATGATTAATTTTATAAAACATAATGCATGGGAATGATTGTAGGAATCACAATATGACTGAAGAATAGTGTAAAACACAATGTATATGAACTATGTGAGCAAACCAATATAAAATTTTTAAAAAATAATAAAACAGAACCTAAGGATTTATTCATTTAAACTATAAACTCAAAACTATCATACTCATACCAGTGGCATGGTTTTTAACACACTAAAATGCAGTACTTTTTCTTAATATGCTTTATTTGCATGAGGAAAAGTTAAAATCTGGCTATTAAACAATGCTAGAATAAGAAACATCCAGGGAACTTGTTACGCTTAGAGTATGTGAAGGAAGACACGCAAAGGGTAGGGAATATTGTTGGTTTCTGAGCTTAAAACGCAGATTCACTGTGGTCAAGTTGGAAATGACTCTTAGCTAACCCTCCAGTGAGTTTTTAGAGGCTGTAACTCGAACAGGTGGAGACTGCCCATCCTCTCCACTGAAGCACCTAGTGGATTCAAACCTCCAGCTTTGGGTTGGCTGTGCAACTTCTTACTGATTAGGCCATCAGAGCTTCCTTGAAATTAGAAGTGATATTACAAAAGTGAAGTTTGAGAAAAATAACTCTAACAGGTACATGTAGTAAATACTGCTGTGGAATATGGAGAAAAGATTACTATTTAGGAAGCTATGGTGATTAAATAACAATAATAATAACATGGTGATTAATATGGGAGCCAAAAACAAAAACAATGCTTACCAACTAAGCCACTTGAACTCCCTACTATTAGGGTACTGTGATAAAAATTTAGACAAGAGTTGTTAAAGAGAGAGATCCAAGAAATTTCTCAGGAGAAAAATGGATTAAGAAGCAAATGTAATTTTTTTTTTCATGCTGAGATAAGCTGTTTGTAGTTACTAGGTGCCTTCCAGCTGATGATGACTCACAAAAACACTAAGACTGATTGATCAGAAACTTCCACTCTCCTGCACCATGCTGATGATGTCCTGTATGCTCCGGCCCATTGTTGCAGTCACTATGCCACTCCATCTTGTTTAGGGTGTTCCTCAATTTTTCTGACTTTATTACTTTCCCAGAATGAAATGGTTTTCCATGGACCAGAACCTACTGATAACATGCCCAAAGTAGGTGAGATGAAGTCTCACCATTCTTGCTTGAAAGAACGTCCTGGTTGGACTTCGTCCAAGACAAATTTATTTGTTGTTTTGGCAGTCCAAGGTATATTCAACACTCCTCACCAATACAATTCAAAAGCATCTATTCTTATTTGGTCTTCCTTATTTATTGTATAACTTTCAGATTTGTAGACAGCAATTTAAAATTACATGGCTTGGATCAGGTACACCTTAGTCTTTATACTAATATCCTTGCTCTTTAGCACTTTGGTGCATTCTGTAAGGGAAGATGTATGCAATGCAACATGTCTTTTGATTTCATTTTTGTTAAGATTCTTTTATTGTCATTTTACTGAAAATTTACAGAAAGCATGGGTTCACTGATTCATTCACTGACGTACCTTTTCTTCTCCCTGTTATCCAGGTCATTTTGTAATGTACTTCTTCTTCCAGACTGTTGTCATATATATAATGTCTAATCACCCATTTCTTTAATACAGTACTTTCCTTCACCTATTCCAATGTTGTTGTTGTTGTTATGTGTCGTTGAGTCGTTTGCGACTCATAGCGACCCTATGTACAACAGCCCTAAACCGTGCTCTATCCTGTGCCAATCTCATTGCCTCTGACACACCCATCCCGATTACCCCAGTCATTTATCCACTCTTCGCCCATTTCTTAACTGCTGTTATCATTGGTGTTGACTGTGGATTAAAGTAAACTCTAAGACTTGAAAACTTCACTCTTCTCTCCATCTCTCATATGACCTTCTGGTCATGTGGTATCAAAGAATTCTGCTCTCTTGACACTGAACTGTAACCTGCACTGGAGCTATAATCTTTGACCTTCTGCAGCAAGTACTTCAAATCTTCTTCACTTTCTGCACGCAAGGTTGTCTCATCTTCATCATGCAGATTATTAAGGAATCTTCTTTCCAATCCCGATGCCACATTCTTTTCACATAATCCACTTTCTTGAATTATTCTCTCTGCATACAAATTAAATAGATATGGATACAACACTGAAGCAGATCTTTCCTAATTTTAAAGCATGAAGTATCCCCTTGTTCTGTTTGAATGTCTATTTCTTGGTCTATGTATAGGTTTCACATGAGCACAGTTGCATGCTCTAGGATGGCCATTCTCCTCAATGTTAGCCATAATTTATTATGGTCCAGACAGTCAATGTCCTTGTATAATCAATAAAATACAGGTACCATCTTTCTGATATTCTCTGTTTTAGCAAAGGTGCATCTGAGCATAAGCACTTATATCCTTCAGATCACTGTCTCTTCTAAATACAGACTGAATTTCTGGCATTTCACTGTCAATGTACAGTTCCAACTGTTCTAATGATCAGCAAGATATCACTTCCATGTGATTATATTGTTTGATAATTTCTACACTCTGTTAAATCACCTTTTCTTTGGAATGGGAACAAATATAAATTTTTGTAGTCAGTTGGCCAGTTAGCTATCCCCCAAATTTACTGGCATGAGCTAGTGAGCATGTCCCTCCAGGTTTGCAACTACTTGGTGAAAGTATTCCACCAATTCCTGGCCTTATTTTTTTGCCAATGCTTTGAGTGCCACTTGAGCCTCTTCCTCCTTTCATGATCATATGCTACTTCCAAAAATGCTTTCTTGTCAAGTAATTCAACTCTTTTTGGTGCAGTGACCCCATGTATTCCAACCATCTTCTTTTGATGCCTCCTGCATTATACAAGATTCTGCCCATTGAAGCCTTCAGTACTGCAGCTTGAGGGTTGAATCTGTTGATTCTTTCAGCATGAGAAAATGCAAATCAAGTTCTCCTTTTCCAACTCAGTTCTTTGCACATTATAATATTTTGCGCTGCCTTCCAAAGCAGTCCTTTGAAATCTTCTGTTCAGTTCTTACTTGATAACCTAGTGGCAAGAAGCTGTGCTGCAATCCTGAAAGCAAGCAGTTCGAGGTCACCAGTTGCTCCATGTGAGAAGGATGGGCAATCTCCTCCAGTATGATCAACTGCCTCTGAAAATCCCACCAGAGGGTCAGCTACGGGTTGGTCCCAACTCGACGGTACACAACAACAACAACATATTCAAGCACAAGTAAGTTCTAGAGTCTCTTCTGACATCCACTTGCAGTTTTTATTTCTCTCCTGTCTTTGTAATAATCCTTCGCTTTTTTCATGGACAATGTCCTTCCACAATTCATCTGATCTTCAATTATTAGTGTTGAATGTATCATATTTTTTTCTTGAGATGGCTTCTAAATTCAGTTGGGATAGACTCGTGGTCTTATATTGTTTCTTGTGGACTTTTCAATTTCCTTAGTTTCAATTTGAACTTACACAAGAATAACTGATGATCTATTCTACAGTCATCCCCTAGACTTGTTCTAACAGATGACATTGACTTTTCCCACTGAGGTAGTCAATATGATTCCTGATCAGTTTCTTGTATGTACCAGTAGGTTTTTTGTTTTTTGTTTTTTTAAAAAAAGGTATTTGCAATTTAAAAAAACCCCAAAACCCCATGTATAAAATACTATCATGAGGTCTCCAGCCTTATTTCTTTCACTAAGGCCACACTTTCAAACTACCATTCCTTCTATATTTTCAACTTTAATATTCTAGTCATCAATTATTATTAATGCATCTTGATTGCATGTTTTCTCACTTTCAGACTTGAAAAGTCAATGAAAATCCTCAATTTCTTCATCCTTAGCTTTAGTGGCTGGAGTGTATTATTACCAAGTCTTTCTTCTGTGTATATGCCTGTCGCTCACAGCATTGAATTTCAGGACAGAATCTTGAAATCCTCTTTTTTACTATGAATGTAACACCTCTCCTCTTCAACTTGTCATTCTCATTATAGATCTACAATTCTGTGATTCAAAATGGTCAAAATCGGTCCACCTCAGCTCACTAATGCCTAGGGTGTCAATTTTTATGTGTTCCATTTAGTTTCTGACAACTTCCAATCTCCTTAGAGTCATTCTTCAAACATATCATGTTTATATTTTTAAGATATTTGCAGTTGTTTCTTCTCATTTTTTGAGTCCTTTCCATATGAGAGACTCATCTTCTGACACTATATCCAACAATGTTCCTCTCTAATTTATAGGGTTTTCAAAAGCCCATTATTTCAGAAGTAGATGGCCAGTCTTGCTTCTTAGTCTGTCTTAGTCTGGAAGCTCTGCTGAAACCTGTCTACCATGTGTGACCCTGTTGGTATCTGAAATACAAGTGGCATAGCTTTTTGCACCATAACAATATACAAGTCATCACAGTACAGCAAACTGACAGGCCAGTACCATATCCGCCACAGCAAACCATTATTCAAATAGGCATACACATATCATCAAGGAAACCACTCCCATACTATGGAAATTCCCATCTCCCAGCTGTTTTGCTTGGGAGAGTGTATCTGCCCATCGAGGAGAAGTCTACAGTTAAAATGCCAAGTCAGGTCAGAGTTTCTGCTTGTCTGAATGGTGACCAAAGCCCCAAGATGTGAGCCAGGTCCTGGGGAGCACCTTTTCTGTAGGAAAGTTATTTGACAAGGGGCAAAAAGAATGGGAAATGACAGATACCTTCTAAGAGAATCAAAGTCCAAATTATTACTTAGATAAATAGCTTACTTACATTTTTAACCCTTTTTTTCCCTTTCATTCAATTACCTCTGGACAATTACTTCGTAAGTAAAGCAAATACATTTATTTACCTGGAAATGTTGATCTTCAATTCTTCCATATGGATGGTCATCTGCTTAAGCTGATCCTTTAAAACACAACAATTCTCCTCCTTGAGTCTAAGTTCATCTTCTTTGGTCTGAATCGCATCATTGAACTTCTTTTCCCATGTCCTGACTTCCTCTATAACCCTATCTCGATCATCCTGGAGGGAAGACATGCTCTTAGTAAAGGCTGACAGCTGGGCCACACTACTGTCCAGAGATTTCTCAAGTTGCTTAAGTTCTATGTCTTTATTGTCCAAAGTAAACTGAATTTCTCCAAAAGACTCTTCTAATTGGATTTTTTCTTGACATAAAGCATCCAGTTTCTCTTGCATGATCTTCTTCTCTTTCTGGTGTTTTTCTTCTGCCTGATCGAGTATTTGTTCAAGATCATCATCCTTCTGTTTCATTTGTCTTTTAACTAATTCTTTATTTGACTGAAGTTCTTTTTTCAACTTGAGATTATCTGCTAGTACTCGGGCTGCTTCACTTTGAGTGTCATCCAGCAGTACTCTGAGATTGGCTAATTCTGCTTGTGCCTTCTTGCCTTGTTCATCTGCTTGAGCCAGATTTTCTTTGCTTATTTCCAAGTCCTTTTGGGACTCAGACTGAACAAATTCTAGGGCCTTAATAGTTTTCTCCATGACATTCATTTTATCTTGATATCTGATGCAGTCTTTCTGCAACTGCTTTACTTCCTGCTGTTTTTCTTTTAACAGCTCTTGAAGCTCTTTTGTATGGGCTTTAATGTTAGGTCCTTCCTGGGCACCTTGTATTTTCTCCATATATTCTTTTCGTATTTCAGATTCCACTTTTGTTTTTTCTTTAACTAATTTCTGCTTTTCTTCTTCCAATGCACTCACACACTTTTTAAGAGTCTGCATTTCAGATTCAAGTTGTTCATTTTTTATTTGGGCATCTGTAACATCCTGACAATAATTCCCAATGCTTCCATTAAGTTCTGCCAGTTGATTCATCAGTCTCTCTTCTAAGTCATCTTTCTCCTCTTCTACTTTCTCCTTTAATTTGGTAACTCTGGAAAGTTCTTCTTGGTTTTGTTGATTTATCAAGTTTATTCTGGCTACTTCTTCCTCAAGTATTTTTAATTCACTATCCTTTGATTGCACTTGGCTAAGTAAAGCATTTCTCTCATTTTCTAGTACCTGATTACATCCTTTTATTTTATTCATCTCTTTATCTAATTCAGCAATTCTTTCTGTGAGCTGATCAATCTGCTGTAGGTAATTATTAATTTCACTATGTGAGATAGCATTTTCACTTATGCCATGATCTCTGTTGGCACTATTCTCTGATAGAATGGATGCTGAATATTCAGGCCTTGTACTCATACTTTCAGGTTCTGGCTTTTTAGCCCCATCTGTTATGGTCTGCACTGCCCCTTCAACAATATCCATTTGGTTGCCCTGTTTTTCAAGACTGGTTTGTTCAGATGTACTATCTTCTACCTGTTGCTTAGTATCTTGAAGCTCTGGAGTTAACATATTATGCTCAGTCGATGAAGCCTCAAATTCATTGGAAAGGGTTTCATATTCTATGGCGACTTTTTCTAGTATTTCCTTCTTATCAGAATTAGAAGAAAGAAGTGCTTTCCTATCTTCGTTAACTTTATCTACTAAAGATAAGTTCTCTGCTCTCAGCCGGTCATTTTCTTCTTCTAGTTCTATAATTTTCTGCTGCTTAGATTTAACAAATTTTCTCATCTTCTCTTTCATTTTCTGTTCTGCTTCCTCTAATTGTTTTTCTGTTTCTTTCTTGCTCGCATCCACACTCAACAATTTGCCATACAATTCTTGCTTCTCTTGTCTCACAGTTTCTACCACATGCCGGATCCTTTCTGTCTCATTACTAACATTTTCATAAGACTGTAGAAGAACCTCATACTCTTTTTGTAGCTCTTTGTGTTTCTCTTGCCATTCAGTGATTTCTGCAATATGAGAAGATTTCAGAGATTCCATTTCTTTCCCTAACTTTTCTTTGTCTTCAGTTAGACCCTCCAGAGCCAACTTTAGACTTTCACAAGACCAACTGAGATTTTTATTTTCTAATAAAGATTTGTCCATTCCAGCAAGAAGTTCATCTTTTTCTTCTTGAAGTTGGCCTAACCTTTCTAAGAGTGTATCTTTTTCTTTATTTTGGGCAGAAACTTGATTTTCTATGTCGGTCAGATTCTTGGTAAGACATTCAATGCTATCTTTGGCCAAAGACAACTGCTCTTGGAGGTCTTTATTTTGTTGTAGTGCTTCTTTTCGAGAAATAAGGGCAGCTTGAAGCTTTCTTTGTATTTGCTGCTTTGTTTTACCTTCTTTTTCATTTTCTTCAAGTTTGTGCTTCATTTCACTAATTTCCTCCTGTAACTGCTTCATCTTCTCATCATGTTCTTTAGCTTGCATTTCCAGTTGCATTTGTAAAATCTTAACGTGGTCTTCTTGTTCTCTCATCTCTGTCTTCAGTTTAGCAAGGATATTCTCTTTGTCACTAAGCTGTCCAGAAAGATAGCTGGTTTCTTCTTCCTTTTTATTTATTAGTGTTTGCTGTTCATCTAGTGTAGGCTGTAATTCTCTGAGATGTTCTAATTTAGCAATTTCTAGTTGACTGCTTTCCAATGTCCGCTGCAGACTTTCTGTATGGACTTCAGATTCATGGGCTGCTATCTTCAGAGTTTGGATTTCTGAAGCCTGCTTATCTACCTGCTCTTGTAACTGGACTACCTCATCTGACTTTTGAGTAAGCGTACTTAATGTTGAATTAACCTTCAGTTTTAACTCTTCATTTTCAGCCTCTATTTCTCTCAGCTGTGCCTTAATTTGGTCAATAAAAGTACTGTTCTGCAGAGTGTATGCATCATTACTGTGAGAAGTCAAGTCTGAAGCAGGCTGGGAAAGTTGCTTCTCTGTAGCTTTGAATAAAGGATCCTCTAAATCTTGAGTGAATGAAGTTGATTCTTCCTGGTCAGTGCCTGGTGGGAGTCTTCTCTCTAAAGAATCCTTTACTTGAATCTGGAGTTGTCCAAGTTGGGCTTTAATGTTTTCATTTTCCATACTTTGTGCATTAAACTGTTCTTGCAAGTGATTATAGTCATCTTTTTGTTGCTTTAGCTCCTTCCTAAGATGTTTTTCTATTTCCTGTGCCTTTTTTACAATTCCCTTGCGTGAGGCTGCCACTTCCTGTAGTTTCTTTTGAAGTTGTTCCTTTTCTGTTTGAAGGGCCATAATCTTTTCTTCTAGCTGTTCTCGCTTGAGTGGTTCTCCACCACCTGCTTCAGCTGGCATGACCTCCACTGTGTCTTTCACAGAAGGTACTGAGTCTCTGTCACCTGCATCTTTATTACTCGTGGTTAATTTCTGGATAACCTCCTGTTTTTCGGTTATTTGTGCTTGTAGCAAGTCTATTAAGTTTGTCTTATCTTGCAAATTCTCAATCATCTGTTTTATAGTGGCTTGTAACTGTGCTTCAGTTAAGAGTTTTTCTTCCAAATCCTTCCTAACATGCTGTAGTTCCATTTCTTTATCAGATATTGCCTGTTTTAAATGGATTTCTATTTCTTGGCACACTGCACTCACACATTTTTCTGAGTCTGTTTTATTTTCTTTATCTTCTTCCATTTCCCCTTTCTCATTCACATTCAATGGAATGCCTTTTGTAGATTCATCTCTAACTTTCACCAATTCCTCTTCTAATCTACTGACTTGTTGTAGAAGTTCCCGTCTGTGAAGAAGAGCTGCCTGGAGTTTTCTCTTTCGCTGCTCACTTTCTTTCTTTAGAACATCCAATTCATGCTGCAGTTCTTCTCGACTTTTAAGCCCTGATGGATTCACTTCATCATTGTTAAGTTTAAGGTCAGAATCAACTTCTTTATCTTTTTGTACATGCTGTTTTCTCGTTTCTTCCGCTTTCGATAACATATTCAGTTGTTCTTTAAGTGTCTTAATTTCAACTCCAAGAGAAAACTTCTCTTCATTAAGTTGAATCACTTTCTCAGTCATACTAAAGCTGATTTCTGTCACTTGCTGATCTTTCTCTTTGATAGTTTGTTGGAGAGTTTCAACATCCTTACTTTTCTCCAGTAGAAGCTGATCTAGCTTTGTTATTTCAAGCTCCTTGTGTGAGAGAGCATGTGAAAGTTCTTCCATCTTAACTGAGATATCACGCAAACGCTCCTCCCATCCCAGCACTTCATTTTCCTTAATCTGCAGCTGGTTCTGTAGGCTTTTTATCAGTGTGCTCTGTTCAGAAAACTGAAGTTGCATATTATCCAGCTCACTCTGTAAAGCTTCCATTTTCACATCTTTAGATTTGGCTTCTATGTTGAGGCTGTAAATCTGTTCAGTGAGCAGGTTTTGATGAGTAGTCTGGCTTTCAAAGTCTAGTTTTCTTTGTTTTTCTGCTTCTATGAGCTTTGCTTCCAGTTGTTGTACCTGAGCCTTCAGTTCTGCTATTACATTCAGTTCCTTTACCTGAGAAAGAAGCTGGTCTCTTTCTTCAGACAAAGCAGTGAATGCACTACTTGTATTTTCAGCATTTTTCTTCAAGTCGTCAATTAACTGAGTTAACTCGTTTATTTCCTTCATTTTTTCATATAAATTATTTTCATAACTTTCTTCTGCCTTACTAAAATTCAGCTCAAGCTCCAAAATTTTCTTTTTTAGTTTTTCCAGCTCATCCTGCTGAGAATCTGGTGTCAAAGGAGGGAATTTATCAACAGCATCTTGTTTTGATTTCAATTCTATACTAGCATCATTAAGAGACAGTTTTTCAGCTTCTCCATTTTGATGTTTAATGCTTGCCTGCTCTTTCTTTTCAATTTCTGGAGGACTGCTCTCTTCATCTGGCATGAAGGGAATGTTTTTTCCAGTATCATCAAGTGATATATTCATTCCAACTGGAGGTATTTCTTCAGTCTGATTGATTTCATTCAGGCAAAGGGCTTCTGAGCCTCCTTCAGCTCTTTTGCCCTTTAATTGTGATTTAAGAAATGCAATGTCTTCTTGAGCCTCTTCCATTTCCAATAGTAAAACTGATAATGCTGTATGTTTCTGGCCACTGGGCCCAATCTCCTCAGTAGAAGAGCTGTTATTGTTGAGACAAGTTTTATCAAGTATGCCAATCTATTAAAAAAGGAAAAGGAAGAAAAAAGGCTCAATGAATTGTTTTATCCTAGAAAAAGCTAAGTAGAAACTGGCATTTTGTGTTACTTTCTAAAATTTGAATCTTTTCAGTCCAATCTTCCTTCCTCTGGTAAAAGTGCTAAGTATTTTTAAAATCAGTTGCATTGTTCCCAGATTTTAACTCTGAGGGTAATCTATCACTTCTGTACTGCAGTCAAGCCATATCCAAAAGACCAAAGGACAGGGATTTCTTTTCTAGTTATTCCTTATTTGAACAACTAATTTTTCTTCATATTAAAATGTCAATTTGTTTCTCCCAAGAAATACTTAAAAAAGAAAAGAAATAAAGCCCTGTTTCAGTTCACAAAAAGTTTTATGGGATTCCTCTTCTTTGTCTCACATACTTTGGGCATGTTGCTAGGAGAGGCTATTCCTTGGAGGGGGATATCATGCTTAGAAAGGTGGAGGGACAGGGAAGAAACCTTCAATCAGGTGGGCTGACACAATGACTGGAGCAACGGGCTTGTGTGTGTCAGGCAATGTGAGGATGGCACAGGATAGGATAAGGTTCAGATCTGTTGTTCACAAGTCATATTTTACTCAACAGCACCTAACAACAACAACAGCAGCAAAGTATACATTAAAATAAGGAAGCTGAAACTATTACATGAAACAACTTTACCAGACATTTGTAGATTATCAAATAAATGGTTTCAGATAAATTCCAAACTAAACCAAACCTGCTGTTATCAATGCTGATTTACAGTGACCCTAGAGGACAGATTTCCACACTGATAATCTTTATGGAGAGAGCTCTGGTGCTTACTGGGAAGAAGCGGCACTGCCATCCCACAGGTATGCTGTTCAAATCCACCTGCTCCTTTTTGGGAGAAAGATGGGTAATCTTCCATGCAATTAATTAAACTTCCTCTGAAAACCCACTGAATGGTAAACTATGAGTTGGTTCCAACTCAACAGTACATAACAACTACCTTTATGGAAGCAGAGCACCACATCCTTCCTTTTTTTTTTAGTTGCCAGGTATACACTTAGGATTGTGCCATCAGTGCTCTTTTCCAAATAAACTACCAAGATTAAGTTATACAAAGTGAAATTAAGAAAAAGAGCGGAATTTGGGCATGAAATTAGACTTAACAAAATATAAAACAAATTGTTGAAAAGGTTACTGTGTTAAGATTTCTCAATATATAGAAATTACTTCTAATTCTTTGAAAAGATAAACTGGTAAATATTATGTTAGTGAATTCAATTAACACGTTATTAAATGAGTTTGGGGTTGTGTACACAAGAACATTTCCACCTATCCCAGTAACACCTTCTTCCCTCAGGGGAAAACAGCATAATAGCCAATAGCACAAACTGTAGCCCATCTGCCTAGATTTCCTGCCATGTACTGGCAGAAACTAGCACACAGAGAACGCAATGAATATCAGTTATAGATACTAAATGTTTTATCATTATTCTTAGCTACTTAGGAAAAATATTATAAAAATTATAACTTTTTATTATTTCAAAAAGGTTATCAAGTAAGTTTTCTCAAGTATTATTTGTAATAATTCTTAATTATTACAAATACTCTATATCATGCTCAAATTCCTAGGAACCAAAACTAGATACTGAATTCAACACGGGAAATATTTTCTTATCATTTCTACATGTCATAGTCTTCTTTATCCAGCTTGACAAATTTAAAGACCTGGTGCAAATAAGGTATATTTTCTACAAGTGTCATTCAATGTAAATAAGTTGCTTTTCCCTCCTCTTAACTACCATATTGCTGTTTCCTCTTTTCTAACTATCTGCCATGCCATTTTCTTCCTCTTCATCACACCCTCCACGGCTCCCTAGACACTGACTCAAAAAATCCAAACTCACTGTAATCAAATCAGAACTAACTAACAGGTGACCCTAGAGTGGGTTTTCAGAGACTATAAATCACACAGGAAGAGACTGGTCATCTGGTCATCTCCTTCCCACAAAGCAGCTGGTGGATTCAAAATACCTGTCTTTGGGTTAGCAGTGCAATTCCCACTCCACTAGACAGGTATTATCAACTGTGCTGATCTACTGAAAATAGGAAAAGGAAGAAAAAAAGCCTCAACAAATCATCTTATACAATCATAACATACAAAAGGAAAGTGGCTTTCCATTAACTATGTGGCTAAAGTAAAGAATCAATGTCATTCCACGATGAGAGTGCAGAGAATGAGCAAACGGCTATTTTTGGCCACAGCTGGGTTGCTGTCAACCCAAAGGGATATACTTCAAATCCAACAGCTGCTCCATGGGAGAAAAAGGGATCATCTCCTCTGAAAAGCCACTGGGGGGTCAGCTATGAGTGTTTCAAGTCAAGGGTATGTAACATAACAATGCATTTCTACCAACACTGGTCTCTCCTCATTAAGCTGAGTTTACAAGTGTGTATAAATCTGTTTTACATACTTTCTCTCACCAAAGGGATTATCTTTGTCATGCTAGCTCTCTCTCTCTCTTTTTTTAAATTTCTGTGTTATTTTTCCTTCACTTATCCCATTTATTTGTTTTCTTTGCTTTGGTTATATTTTAATTTCCTAAATTCTATTTTACCTATTACTCTTCAGAGCTAAATTATCTTCTTTTCACTAGATATTAAAACATTCATACAGTGTGCCTTAGCCAAACAAGACTCATTTTTACTCTGGATTTTTATAATTTGTCAGTAACAATAAATATTATAATTTTAAAAATTTATTCCCATTTTCATAATTTTATGAATACAGCATGAACATTTCCATGAAAAAGTATGACAAATAATAGATGCATCAGCTAATAAGCTATTCAAGGTTGTCTATGACCATTATCACTAACTTATTGGTTGGAAAGATGTAACTAATTTAACAGAATGCAGTTAGCAAGATTGTAAATATTTTTTTAAAAACCAAAAAAAAGTTAACTAAGGGATGGGGAAAGGGAGGAAGAGATGGTAAAAATGTGAAACAATTAATGAATGAACTTTTCTGTAAACTTTTGTTCAAATAAAATAAAACACACACACACACACACACGAATATTAGTATAATTCTCAGGTCATAAAAACATACTCCAAAAATACCCTTTTCATATAATTGTAAATAAAACTATACAAACTAAGGCCAGAAGAGAAAGCAACAAAAAAAGAAGGCATTTTCATCTAATTTCTTCATAAGATTGGAAAAAAGGCAGCGTGGTCCAGATATGGGTTATCAAATCCCAAATAAGTGTCTAATGAACTTGCATTGCTTCAGAGCAAATGAAGAATTCAAAATATTAAAAAATCAAATTATATTGAGTGAAAAATGATAATATTTATGGATCTCTTAAGTAGATCTCCTTCTATAAGTAATGTAATATCTTTATATTGACAAAGGAAAACCAAGAAATGTTTGAATTCTAAATTTCTAAATACTTCCTCTTAAACTATCATATCCTGGTGATTTTAAAAATGTATCACTTACCGGGCTGACTTCTCTATCTGTCTTTCCAGTTACATTCTGAGTTTCCATGAAAGTAATCTTGGAAGACAGCTTTTCTGAAAGCCACAAAATGATTATATTTAGGTTACTTTTGAACAAAGATGACAATACAGCATGTGAGGCTATGTGAAATGTACAAAATAATCTAAAGAAAAATAGATAAGAGATGAAAGGCTTTTACTCTTCAAGTAAGTGACAAGTGAAGACAAAATATAAGCTGAGAGATGGGATGGTACTAGGTGATGATACTGAATCTGAGTGAAGTACAACAAGCAGTGGAGAGCTTTCAATAGAGAAGACAGTCCTAGTAGGTGATACAAAGCCATCTGGTTTTGAGACATAATCAGGGACTTCCAGGACAATGAATATGCCTTAATTTATCTATAATCTTACTGTGTTTATAACAAAATTATTTAATTAAATGTTTGCATTAATAGAGTATTTGTTGTTATTATGTGTCATCGAGTCACTTATGACACATAGCAACCCTATGTAAAACAGCTCTGAATTCTGCTCTATCCTGAGCTAACCTTAACTGTCTCTGACACACCTACCCCCATTCCCCAGGTCACTGAGTCAATCCATCTCATCCAGGGTATTCCTCTCCTATGCTGCTCCACAAACCTCCCAAGTATAATGTCCCCCTCCAAGGACTGGACCCTCCTTGCAATATGTTCAAAGTATGTGAGATGGAACTTCAGAATCCAAACCTGTTAGCTCTCCTAGCAGTCAATGGTATATTCAATAAAGCTCAAAGGCATCAATTCTCCTTCTATCATCCCTAGTCATTATCCAGCTTTCTGATGCTTAACAAGTAATAGGAGGACAATCATCCAGATCAGGAGCACCACAGTCTCCAGACTGACATCGTTACTCTTCAGTACTCTGGAAATGTCCCTGACAGCAGATTTTCCCAATGCAATTCATCTTTTGAGTCCCTGGCTGGTGGTACCAAGACTATTGATTGTGGAGTCAAGAAAACAGAAATTATTCATAATTTCAAATTATTCTTGACCATCTATTATGATGCTGCCAGTTGTCCCAGTGGTGAGAATCTTTGTCTTCTTGATGTTGGACTTCAATCTAAATTGAAGGCTGCAGTCCTTGATCTTCAGTAGCAAATGCCTCAGGTCCTCCTCAGTTACAGCAAGCAAGGTTGTCTCATTTGCATAATGCAGGTTGTTGATAGACCTTCCACCAGTCCTGGTGCCACAATTCCTCTTCACAGAGCCCAGCCTCCTGGATGATCTGTTTTGCATATATAGATTAAAAAGGTATGGAGATAGGATGCATCTCTGGTGTACACCTTTTCTGGTTTTGAACCATGTGGTGTTTCCCTGCTCTGTTCTGATGAATACCTCCTGGTCCAAGTACAGGTTTCATATAAGCACTATCAAGTGTCCTGGGATTCTTATTCTCCTCAGAATTAGCACAGTTTGTTGTGATCCACACAGTCAAACACCTTTGCATAGTCAATGAAACACAGACAGACATTCCTCTAGTACTCTCTGATTTTAGAGAAGATCCATCTAACATTAGCTATCATATTTTTAGTGCCATGGACTCTTCTAAACCCAGCCTGCACATCTTCCAGTTCTCTGCTGATGTGCTGTTCTGGTCATTTTGGATCATTATCAGCAGGATCTTGCTTGCATGTGATATAGGTATTTTTCAATAATTTCTGCACTCTGTCGGGTCACTTTTTTTGGACTAGGAACAAAAATGGATCTCTTCCAGTTAGTTGTCCTCCAGATTTCTTAGCACAACTTGGTGAGCACATCCAGGGCAGCATCTGTTTGTTGAAATATGTCAATCAGTATGCCATCAATTCCTGGGGCCTTGTTTTTAGTCAATTCCTTGAGGCACCTTTAACCTCCTCCTTTATCACAACAGGTTCTTGACCTTATGCTGTTCCATGAAATTCTTCTGTGTCAGACAATTCCTTTTTGTACACTCCTTCCATCTTCTTTTAACGCTTCCTGGATCATTTAATATTCTGCCCAAAACACCCTCGAGGCTTGAATCTGTTGTTCAGTTCTTTCAGCTTAAGAAATGCTGAGCAAGTTCGGCCCTTTTGATTTTCTGACTCCAGGTCTTTGCACGTTTCATTATAATACTTTGCTTTGTCTTCCCGAGCTGCCCTTCCAAATCTGTTCAGCTCCTTAACTTCTTGATTCATTTCCTTTGCTTTGGCATCTCTGCATTCTAGCATAAATATTCAAAGTCTCTTCTGACATCCATCTTGGTCTTTTCTTTCTCTTCTGTCTTGGTAATGACCTTTTGCATTCTTCCTGGATGATATTGTTGATATCCTCCTTTCACATTTAAAAAGACCAAATTGCACTTGGAGGAAACGGTCCAATCTAAACAAACAAAAAAACCCCTAAGACATATTTATGCTTTTGTTATGATTATTGCTATGTACCATGGAGTTAGACCTAACCCAAAGCTGACTGTCCAGTAGGTTTTTAGAGGCATCACAGTAGTAAAAGAGGAGACTGCACATTTTTCTCATATGGAGCAGCCAGTGGATTCAAACCATGTGCCTTCAGATTGGCAGCACAACTTCTTACCAGCAGAGTTTTCAAAATACACACATATACTTCTTTAAAAAAAACAAACAAAACAAAAAACCAATTCTTTTTCTAAAGTATATTCACATATCTTTTAACATGACCTACAGTGGTCCTCTATTAAATGTGACCACACTTACTGACCATCCATGTAGTCCTGGTGGCACAGTGGTTAATGAACTTGGCTGCTGATAATCAAAAGGTCAGTGGTCTGAACCCATCAGTCTTCCCATGGGAGAAAAGAGTGGCAATTGCTTTGGTAAAGATTACAGTTTTGGAAATCCTACGTATGAGACAATGCTACTGTGACCTGTAAGGTTGCTTTGGCTTGGTCTCAGCTCAGTGGTAATGGATTTGGTTTGGTTTCTTCTCCAGCCTCTTTTTTCAGTGTTTCCTTCATCACACACTAGAAACGGTGGCCTTCTTTCTGTCCTTTAAGCCCACCAAGTTCATACCTTAGAACACTTTTAACTCTGCTTGGCTCCTCCTTTCCGTCATTCAGGATTCCAGAGCTCTGTGAGGCCTTCCCTAACCATTCTGATACTGCCTTTCCCTGCTTCTGGACTATCTGCAGTTTTATTTATGATTTTGCATCTGGCTTTATTATATTTTTTTAATCTTTTAAATATCTACATATTATACTGGGGAAAGACCCAAAAAGGACCTGTGAGAATGGGGTGGTGGTAAGCATAGATCACTGGTGACTGAATTTACAAAACAATGTGTATGGGTGATCATATAGAACACAGTGTGAATGACAGTGTGTGTGAGGTGCCATGTACATGAATGAAACACAATGTACACAAACTGGGTATGCAAACCAATATAAAACAAAACAGAAACCATCTTGTCTTATTTATTCCCATAATATTTAACACTCTCTGAGATTTTTGTAGCTGTCTTAAAACATGCTTAAATCATCGAATATTTCTCACATATGATTTACTGTCTGAAAACCTGCTAAAGAGTAAGCTATAGGTTGGTTCCAACTCAGTAGTACACCACAACATTATCATCACGTTCATGGCAAAAACCCAACAATCAGAATAGTGCCTACAAACTTTGAAAAGTGAATGCACAAAGGGTGTCCATGAAAGAATAGAAGAGGGTATAGAATGTATTCAGACACTTCATGCGATTATGAGAAAAAGGGGCACAGTGGTAGGCATGGCAGTAACAAAGGAAAGTCACAGAAAGCATGGCCCATAAGCAAAGGTAACTTATGATACTAGCTATAAAACTAAGTTTATTCTAAAGTTCCTACAGGTTGAATTAGGAAAGAAATCACTAGGAAACATTAAGATTAGTGATCCCTTCAGGAAAACTGAACTCATATATCCCTTCTGAACCGTAATAAAAGGATGAGAACCATTTCTAAAACTGCAAAGTAAGAGTTATGGGTAACAAACATCTCTAGAATGCATGACGCGCCTCAACAAGGAGCTGGCTTTGTTGTGTTACTTAATAGTGAAGGTGGAAATATTCTAGTAAAGGTGTACAAGCTCAGCTTAGGGCTCAGTGGAAAAATACAAAATGTCTAGAAAAACAAGCTTTAGATTTTAAGAAACAATACAAACTATTCGGTATTTACTCTCACTTCATAGAGGAGAAAATATACTTAACCTAGGATGCATTAGAACAGGAAGGAATTGTTAACTGTATCAATAAAGTATTATTAATCAACAATACTAAATCCTAGAAGTGTGGTAAATGGAGGTTTCTTTGTGTTCCTATTGACTATTTATATAGTTGTTATTGTTGTTATGTGCCGTTGAGTCGCTTGCGACTCATAACGACCGTATGCACAACAGCCCTAAACTCTGCTCTGTCCTGTGCCAATCCCAGTCTCTGATATTTCCATCCCGATTACTCCAGTCGCTGGATCAGTCCACCTCCTAAAGGGCCTTCCCCTCCTGCACTGTCCTCCACCCTTCCAAGCATGAATGTTCTTCTCCAAGAACCGGTCTCTCCTTACAACATGTCCAAAGTATGTTAGATGGAGCCTCAAAATCCTTGCCTCCAAGGAGCCACCCAGTTTAACCCTTTCCAGGAGGAATCTGTTTTCCTAGCAGTCCATGGTACCCTCAATACTCTTCTCCAACACCACAGCTCAAAGGCATCAATCTCCTTCTATCCTCCTTGGTCATTGTCCAACTCTCTGATGCATAACAAGTGATAGCAAAGACCATGGCCTGTATCAGAT